CTGAGTGAGGTATCTCAGTCACAAAGGGACAAATGCTATATGGTGCCACTGTTGTAGAATGAGGCTGGCATTGGGGTGGGGGTAAGACTGAGAAAAACTGTTTCTTAGCTTTTTATGTTAATGGTCTTATACAGTATTAGTCCTTTTATAACTAACTACTGTCATCCAGAATACTTGATTCTAATTTAGGCCATGCAGGTTTCCACAGATTCATGTTACTTGTTTGAGCTATACATAATACACCATTGTGTGAATGCACCATTTTCTTGAGCAGTGTATTTGTTGATAGGAAGTTGGGTTGTATCAAACATTTTTCCTATTATAAATAGTACTGCAATAAACTGTATGAGCACGTTAGTTTGTGTTGTAGTTCTTATTTTAGCAGGTATATACCCGTGAAAATAATGTAATGGAATGTAATAATGTAAGTAATGGAACTTCTGAATCAAATGATATTTCTTTCCCCGACTTTCCAAGGCAGTATCAAACTGCTTTCCATAATTGTTACACCATTTTACATTACCACCAAGACTGTATGAGAGCTCCAATCTCTCCGAGTCCTTACGAGCATTTGTTGTTTGATGTCTTTCTTATCATTGCTCTTTGTACTGGAGTGAGATATCCCACTATTGTTTTGATTTGTATCTTTCTAATAGCTAATGATCTTGAGTATTTGCATTTATGACTCAATAGTACACAAAAAGAAGGAGGCAGTAGAGTTCACATCAATATTTCCCAATTTATTGGATTGTAAGAATCTTCTAATGTAGCACAAACAGTCTGCACTTGATAACTAAACTATGGAAAGGACTAGTGTTCTACTTCTTGAAAAGGACATCTATGAATACTCCAAGGAGCACAGTTTTGCTCTAACACAAGGTCCCTCTTAGTCATAATTGACTGAGAATCAAAGGAATTGGTTTGGAAGCGTCTTCTGAGGCACTGTTAAAATATAGACTCTTTCCAAGGATATTTTGACTTACACATTCTGGGATGGGAGTGTCAAATCTGTTTGTTAATGACTGTCATAGAATTTCTAATACTCAGGCTCATTTGGAACATTCTCTGTAGTGGTGAAGGAACCTGGAGTCAACACATAGGTGTCAAATCTTGGATTAATCCTTACTAACAACAATAAGAAAGAAAAACAAAACAACATAGAAAACCTAAAAGACAAAAATAAACCAAACCCCAAATACTCATGCCAGTTGTCATGTAGACAGGTCTGATTTCTGCCTCATCGTGATCCCATGTGTTTCAAAGTAGACCTGTGCTCCAGAGGGTTTTCCTCACTGATTTTTCAGAACCCCACCCTTTTGGTTAGCAGTGGAGTTCCCTCAAGAGACCCATCTAAACCAAGCCTACTGCCCTCAAGTCCTTCAAACTCATAATCACCTTGTAGGACAAAGTAGAACTGAACAATAGGGTTTTCTGGACATAAGTCTTCACAGAAATAGACTACTACATCTTTTTTCTTGTGAAGCAGGTGAATTAGAACTACGAATCTTCCAGTTAGCAACCAAATACTTTAACCACTGCACTTCCAGGGTTCCTTTCATGGAGATGGGGATAAAGTGATTTTCCTCATGAAGCCTGTGTTCACTCCCCCTTTCTGTCTTCTCTGAGTGACCATCCTACCTTGTGTCTCCCTGCAGATAGAGGACATGCAGTGGGGCAGAGGGCTCCGAGAAGTCCCCGCCTCTGTGTGCACTCGACCTTGCAAGCCTGGCCAAAGGAAGAAGACACAGAAGGGCACCCCCTGCTGCTGGACCTGTGAGCCCTGCGATGGGTACCAATACCAGTTTGATGAAATGACCTGCCAACACTGCCCCTATGACCAGCGTCCCAATGAGAACAGAACAGGCTGCCAGGACATCCCCATCATAAAGCTGGAGTGGCATTCACCATGGGCTGTTATCCCAGTCTTTCTGGCAATGTTGGGCATCATTGCCACTATCTTTGTCATGGCCACGTTCATCCGCTACAATGATACACCCATTGTCCGAGCTTCTGGAAGGGAGCTCAGCTATGTTCTGCTGACAGGCATTTTTCTTTGCTACATTATCACTTTTCTGATGATCGCCAAGCCTGATGTGGCAGTGTGCTCTTTTCGGAGGATTTTCCTGGGTTTGGGGATGTGCATCAGCTATGCAGCACTTCTGACAAAGACCAATAGGATTTATCGCATATTTGAACAGGGCAAGAAATCAGTGACGGCTCCCAGACTCATAAGCCCAACCTCCCAGCTGGCAATCACATCCAGTTTAATATCAGTTCAGCTTTTAGGTGTTTTTATTTGGTTTGGTGTTGACCCACCCAACATCATCATAGACTATGATGAACATAAGACAATGAACCCTGATCAAGCTAGAGGAGTTCTCAAATGTGACATTACAGATCTCCAAATCATTTGTTCCTTGGGATATAGCATTCTTCTTATGGTCACATGTACTGTTTATGCCATCAAGACTCGGGGTGTCCCAGAGAATTTTAATGAAGCTAAACCCATTGGATTCACTATGTATACAACGTGTATAGTTTGGCTAGCCTTCATTCCAATCTTTTTTGGCACTGCTCAGTCAGCAGAAAAGGTAAGTGAAAATGCACACAACATCATGCGTTTAATTTTTTGAAGTGTTGGTATAAACTGGTTATATGTGTTTGTACACCATGAGGAATTCCTGAAGGAAGAGGAGCCCTGGAGGAATAGATGTCCCTGTTAGGAGAATGTGAAGTGTGCTGCATTTGTTCTGTTAGCCTTTTATGGTTAAGTTGATTATTTGTTATGGAATTATTTAATATTGAGATTGTTCATTACCAATTTATCTAAATTTTGTTACTTATTTACACACACATTTCTTTAGAACAAGAGAAAAAGGCCAGCATGCTTATTGTCCAAGTAGGTGTCTATCCAAGTGCCAGTGGTTGACAGTGCATTCTCTCTCTCCACTGACTGACTGTCCACACTGCTGCTATGGAGGAGATCTGGTACATAAACTAGACCAACTCATTAACCCCACTGCCAGCAAGCCAATTCTGATTTGTAGGAACTGTCCATCAATTTCTTAGACTGTAAATCTTAACAAGAGGAAACTTCCCATATTTCCCCTGTGGGGCAATGTGGCCTTCTAGTGGATTCAAACTGCTGGCTCTCTGGTTAGCAACCTGTCATGTAACACAGTATCACACAGTTTTCTTAAACCAACACAGTAGGTTTGTCAAATGGCATGTATGCAAAAATATGGGTAAATAGAGGGAAAGTCTGAATATCATTCTACTCTTGGTGTTTTGGGTTTTTTTATGTTAGTTGCTGTTGAGCTGTCCCCAGTTCATGGTGACCCACTGTGGAATGGAACATATAATGTTCACCACTTCCCCATTCCCATGTGTTGTAGATGGATGTGCACTTGACTCTGAACTTGGTTGTTAGTTCAAATTCACCTTGAGGTACTTTAAAAGAAAGGCCTAACATATTTATGAAATATGATAGCCAAATAAAAGGCTACAAGGCTCAGTTCTACTTTAATACCCAGTGAACTTGTCACAAGTTAAAATCAATTGGACTACATCTCATTTAAGTTTTGGTTCTATAATATAGAGCACAGTTACAGCTGATTAGAAGGTAGGATATTGGAGAGTGAACCTTGGTTGCCTATTACATTGGACAAAACATTTAAACATTTTGGGACTTAACACCTAAAATGAAGTAAGGGGGGGGAAAGTTAAAACGTCTGAAAATTTATAAAGTTTTTGCTTCTAGGAATAGTCAAGTCTGATTTTTCCTTGTTACTTCTGATTTTTTTTTAATGTAATCATGGAAAGAAATCAATGGCTTTTTCTAACTCAGAGATAACTATTTTAAAACTGTAAATTTGGAGTGTGTTTAAAAAGGGGGTATTTAATGAGTCTACAAAAGAATAACAAAACCAAGGATATTAAATGGTTCTTGTGTGCTACTGAGTCTGAACCAACTTATAGCTGATCTTCCAACAGGTTTTCAGAGGCAGTAAATTGCTTGGGAGGAATTTGTCCATCTTTCTCCTGTGGAGCACCTGGTGCATTTGAACCATGAAATGTTTCCTAGATATGAGCAATAAAGTATAGGAAGTTTTTATAAAATAGAATCTCATTGAGAATTGTGTATTTTCAAAACTTTATTTTAAAGTAATATTTGTCTATTGTCAGTAAAATAAACTTGAATCTCATTTTACTACTTCTAATCTGTCCTTGGACCAAGGAGGTAGTTGAATATGAGGATAGCGATATACAATAAAGAGATGAAGAAGAAAAAGTCCTAAAAACTGTGCTGGTAAATTGATAACCGTTAAATTTTTATAGAGAATGATATGCATCTCAAAACCTGTGGAGATGATAATTATTTTATTATTAAAATATGCATAATACACCATGCAGCAATTAAAAAGAGTAGGTTCTTATGGTTTATTCCTGAGGGACAAAAAGGTAATTTCTGTATTTTGGGGGAAGAGGGTACTAATGGATATTTGACAATACACATCTCTGCCATTTCGTTTTTGCTTGTAGCCATTTCTAGCCATGACTATGGATCTTTTCAAGAGGGTTAGCAATTTAATTTACTCATTTAAAAACAAGAAAATGCTTCAAGCTTTCAAGAATTTTCATTTTCACAATTTCTAATTCTAAAGATGTTGCAGTGACAGAAACAATGCAGAAAAATTAAGATGTCTGAAAGCATCTTATTTTCCCAAAATTTTAAAAACTATGTATCTCCCTTTATATACTCTTAATGGGTTATGTTGTTGTACACAGTTGATTATTAGTACAATTAAAGGTGCCAAATTGCCAAAGAGGGTCTGTGAGTTGAGATAGGAAAATGTATACACCCTAATGATAAACATATGACTAGTGAAGCAAGAGCAATCAAAAGCTATCACATGTGTGTGAAACCATAGTGTAAATGGTAGAAAGCAGCAAATTGCCAAATACAGCAAAAAGACCTAGAAAAGGCATTTTGACAACCTTCAGACTCACAAACTTCCATTTTTGCTTAGATTTAACAGTTTAAGTATTTCAAGTGGAAGAATTCCATTGTAACAGGAAAAGAGAACAAGAGAAAGATTAGGCAGCAAGTTAGGTAATAACTCTGTGCTGTTTCAGGGAATTGAAATAATTTTGACCATGCTAGGGATATCTCTGTGAAATTTCTCATTGAGTTTATTAGCAGAACATAAAGTATACGTTTGTTTCTTGATTGTTGTTTTTCCTCCTAAAATGTCAGCTCTCATTGACATTGAGGTTGTTGTTGTTGTTTGTTTGGTGGTTTGTTTGGTTTGGGGGGTTTTTTGTGGGTTTTTTTTCTCTTGTAAAAAAGGATATGGGATCACTTGTTTTGTTGTTTGCAGTGCTGTAACTTCTAGAATGAGTATTTGGAAGCAGCACCATGGATGTAATTTAATGATTAAGGGTTTAATGATTGAATGATTCAAGTTTTCAGTCACTGTGATTAGGTGACTTACTGGTGCAGAGGAGTACCTGGGCAGTGTAAAAGTTTAACATGTTAAACTCTAGCCGAATCTAGGTGATACCTCCAGTCCCCCCAGAGGTTCCTTAGGAGAGTGTCTGGCAGTCAGCTACCGAAACTCAGCCACTGAGAGCACTTCAAAGCAAGTTCTTCTCTCATACACCTGGGGTCATCATGAATCAGAGTTGACTTGATGGCAGTTTTGGTTTTAATGCTACTGTAAACACTAAATGATGAACAACAAGTAAGAACTGACTGTCCTAGGATAGAGTGGGAAGTCAGAGACACGTTTCTTTCTAGAACTAGATCTGGTTTCTTTTTCTTTTTTTAAAGTATACGTATGCGAGAATTTGTACCTGTAGCTTGGGAAAGAAGAATGCTTTAGGCAGAGAGAAAATAAACACTTGAGCTGTACATGATCTCTTCATCACCGCTTTATAGCAGGTGTCTGCAAAGTTTTCTATGCAAACTGAGATGTCATCCTTACACATGGACAGAAAGACAAACCACTAGGCTCTATAAAAGGAATGTAAACATTGGTATAAAGGAATCAAACCAGAAGATCTCAAAGGTGTTCTCCTGTATGTGTAAAAGTCTGTTGAATATGGGTAGGTAAGAAGAAGGACAAGAAAACATTTGACGCTATTATTGGTCAGAGAAAACTACTGGGGAAAGACCAGTACTTGAAGGGAGGAGTTTGTCTTCGAAAACTTCATAATTAGAAGTAACAGCTGTGGGCCACTCTGCTGCCCATATCAAAGCATAACCAGATTGGACAGCTAGTGTCTGAAATCACAGGATTCTTTGGGGATTTTTGTAAGCACTATTCTACTGGAATGACAAGGCCAGGGAGTCATTGCCAACATTCTGCCTATTTCAGATCCATTCCTAACTTGAAGAGTCTCCAAATTTTTTTCTGTGATAATCACCTGAGGAATTTGTTTAGAAGTTTAACAAATGTCTGATCTCTGATGCTTCAATAATGCTAAGGTGGGACATAGAACAGACATTTTTTTAACACATAAGCTGAAAAAAATGCCAGTGGAATCCAAACATACTTTTTAAAACTGACTTTCCCACTATCTTTCCAGTCTATATAAAATATCTATAAATATTTATTTGATTTCTACTATAACAACTTTTGCAAATAAATTCATTTCCATCTCAAACCAATTGGAGACCTGTAGGGATAAAGAAATCAAGGGATAAGAAGCACAGTATTAAGGCTTCAAGATCAGAGAACTGACTAAACTGTAGAACTTGATGTTTGTGTCATAAAACTTAAATCCTTGTCCAAGGCAAGAGAACAGGCAGGTAGACAGTATTTTCTAGGACTATTTCTTGAAAGGATGGGTTTAGAGGCTAGAGACTTTTGAGTGTTACCCATAGCTGGTAATCTGTACACAAAGACAGATCTGCCTAGAACTAATGCGAGGTTCAGAACTCTTTGGCAGATTGGCAGCCTTTCCTACTGCACATACCCATGGTAGATATGTAATCAATCATGGCACTCTTCCCTTGAGCCTAGGCTTGGTCCTGAATGTTTTATCAACAATCTTGACACAGCCACTATCAATAAATCAAAACTCTGAGAGATTTGAAATGCACGTGTCACTCCTGATTTAGCACTGAGCTCCAACAAATGACAGCTGATACATCTCTGCTCATCCAGCTGTTTGCATTTATTGTTAGGGGACCAGAGAAGGGCTTTTCTAAGGATTAACCTACTGCTACATAAATGGTATTGTAGGAAATTTGGTTTGCTTTAATCATCTTAATTTTGTCCTTGATTATAAGTCTTTGGTTAAAGTTGGCAAAAAGTTAGAAAAGGTAGTAATTCTCTTTGAGAGTAATCTATTACTTTATACTTCTGCACTATTTGACTTGATTATAGTTTTCTGATGGTCTTACTGAAGGATCACTAAGATTCATGAAACACCATTGTCCCTCCTCTTAGTAGATTTTCATCACTCCAATATTGACTCCATATTGACTCCGCCCCATGAAGGACTATTGAGTAGAAATAAAGAAGATATTGTCCAAGTTAGTGCATGTTCTGTAACTGTAGCCCAAAGAACAAATTATGGAAAG